TCTAGAATTTGTTCCCATTGCAAACAACAAAAAAAAAAGGTGGAAAATATTTTCCCACCAAATAGGTGGGAAAACAAAGTCAAGCTTTTGTGCATCAAATGATTGTACCTAGAAAAATGTGGAAAATGTTTTCCTAGGAAAATTTGTGCTATCAAACACCACAATTTTGGGAAAATGGAAAACGCTTTCCTACTTCCATGGAATTCCTTGGCTATTAAACATAGCCTAATATCATGTTGAAACACCTCATATAGAATCTTATGCTCAATGAGTGAACATATTTATTTATTTAAATCCAACACATCCGATCAATTTTCATATTGATCAAGAAAAACTCACAATCTTTATTATTTAGGTAATACAAATACAATACAACAAAAGTAACACGAACTTACAGACACAACTGACGCCACTTGCTGCAAGAGCTCAAACAGGCAGCTTTTATTTAGAACATATCATTGAAAACATAAACACAACACAAATTTGTAGACGGGCAAAAGGCGTGATCTCCAACAAGTACGTGATTACATAAGGTTCATTGATTAGCAATGATGGTAGTGGCAGTAGCAAAGATGATGCTTACCAAGGTGATGTTTTCCACAAGTACCCTTGTAAGCTCCCTCATGTTGCTGACAGTAAATGCTGCATTTATCATGAGCACACGACCCACTCCACCCTTTGCTGAGTTTGGAGCAAGGTTTTGCCTCCCCCATTTGCATCTCTGCATAAAAATTGGATTGGGAAAGAGAAATAGTATAAGTTATTCGATGAATTTACATCTATATTTTATTGTACTTTTCAGAACACTTCTTTTATGGTATAGGCATAAATCTTACTCAATTGTATATATTCTCTAAGTTTCTTATCATATTAAGAAAAATGAAAAACAAGCAAAAATCACTTGATACAACACACAGGTTTTTTTTTTTTTTTGTGTGAAAATGTGTCAAGAAAAACTATGAAAAATAATGGATAAGTTGATAAACTGTTTCTGGTTATTTTCTCATTATAATCACATGCATGATGCATTGCAAAATAATGAATAAAGTGAGGACATATACTGTTACATTCGACTAGATAGAACTGGACTTGATTGAATGTGAAAAAATTGAGTAGTTCTTTCAACAAAACTTGTTCAGTCCTATATACTGAACATGACAATATTTTCCAAAATGAAAGCAGTAATGAAAAGTGAACTATCCACTCATCGAGTGCACGACTACCTACCGAAGGATGCAATAATGAGGAAGCAGAAGAAGAAAGCAAGAAAAGTAGTCCTGTTGAGTTTAGCCATCTCTATGTATTCTTAATTTCTAGTGTTTGTGATAGTATACAAGTGAGAAGATGTATTTATAGAAAAATGAAGCAACTCTACAATTCAACGTATTTTTCTTTAATCAAATGTGAATAATAATTAATAAGTAATGACGGAATCAACCAAGACTTGAGTATTTTTGATTGGTTTATAATAATATCCTTTGTGGAGGATGAACCTAATCCTTTTGACAAAAACAATGTATTCATAATATTATCAAATCTTTTACCTGCCCCGTTTACTTTTTCTTCTAAAGCAAAAATAACAGGGTGGGAAGACCATTTCTTGTATTGGTTTTATTAATTTCTATTTATCGTACGAGGTTTTGGAATATATTTCAATTGTCTGACTATTGACTTCTTAACTATTTATTATTCTGTTATGCTGCATATAATCAGGGCCGGCCTTGAGATTTTGGGTGCCCTGTGCGAGATTTTAAAATGGTGCCCTTTTCAAGTAATTAAAAAAATTCATTAAGGAAAATTATTTCATTGCAAAAATATGATATTTAAATATTTGTTTATTTCTTTACACTAGGTACAAGCAACGTGCAATGCACGTTTGCCTAGTTTATATTTAATAGTTTTGTTTAATAATTAATTTGTTATTAATAAATATGTAATTTTTTTGGTTAATTAAATAATTAATGATGTAATGTTTATGTAATTGTTAAATAATTAGATGTGTGATTTTGATGTTGTGATGTAAGTTGGTGAGATTGAAGAAAATAAGCAAAAGTTGACAAATTTGGAGAAATGATTAAATTGTAAGGGATCCAAAGTTCGGGGACTAAAATGTAAATACTTAAAAGTTGTGCCGAATCTCACGATGAAGATTTGAGAGTGCTCGGAGTCAATTGGATAAAGAAAGACGTCAATGGAATCAAATTTAGTTAAAAGATGATCACAAATCAATTTTCAACCGAAAAGTTATGCTCCGATATTTTAGTCTCATATTGAGACCTATTTTTGGCATAAAAAGTGATCGAATTGAAGAATGATGTCTAAATCAAAGTTGTAGCCAGATGAGTTAGCTT